AACTGCCTCCTTCATCTCGGTAGGCCTTACTCAGCTCACCTTATCTGTACCTTCGAATTCGCCTCATCGTCGCCTCAGAAGCACAGGTGAGACTCACATCTTTTATGGAACCTTTTATGCTACACATACGTCCATAACTAAAATTCCTCCTTTATTACCGAATTTCTAGTGATGCGATATCAAATATTTATTCTGGACGAGATCGGCTCTTATTGTAGATACGAATGTTATCTCCTGAGATAATATTGTTAGGGGGACCTTCATTTCGAATGAAAGTGCATGAAGAAGAGATTCGTCGGTCGATTTCACCAGATGAGGACGGTTGAAACTCGTTGTACTGCAGCCGTTGACGCAGTCCACGAGACTTCTTCCCTCGTTTCAGATGAAAACGTGCTGAGCTTTCGTCCATCATATGCTGGACATCATCAAAGCTGGGTGTCATTCTGGTAAAAGTCTCACGGCTCTTATTGTTACATGAAGGATTTAATTTCGGCGTAATAGCAACACTCCATTGTAGGCCTCATTCAAACCTAATTATCACCCTCATGAATCTGGAGCTCTGTAGCTAAGATCCCGCTTGATCATCGTAACATCTAAAACTAGTAACTAACTACGTTTCCTGAAACTGAAGAATCGGTCCTGTAGCTGAGCCGCACCATGTGTCATTTGATAGCATTGTCAGTTGCCTTATCTCACCGCCTTTATTGACCATAAAACCCAGTTTTGTCTGGTCCATTTCATTGCGGTTCACCGTCTCCCGAGTGGACTCAATTTGCGAATACGCTACGACTCGGCGTCTTGGTTGTCCCTTATTTGGCACGTCCGCAGTCCGAATCCCCCCAGGCCTACTAGTCAGGGACATGCGAGGTGCAAAACCCTGCTCTGGGATTGATCCTTTTATCGAATTTCGTCTTATTTTCACTTTCGAATGGAAACCGATACTCGCTTCGCTGAATTCAGTTGACAACAATACTCAAACTGCTCGAAAAAACCTGCATTTTGGCCTTATATTTACGTATTTATATGTCTATATATTCATAGATGTAGCTTCATCTCGTCTTCGCAACTTGGTTGCATTAGTAGGGCGACCTCTGCCAGAGCATGTATGATAATTTCCAGTCGGACCGGGGACTTTATACGTTCTCGGACATCGTAGACTGCATCATCAGTGCCGGCCTTATCACCAAAATACAACTCGTCAATTTTAGAAATAAAAGCAATGTTCTCGACATTAGCTTCTGGTATTTCATCCCTATCCCTTGATCTCTTCTTATTTTACCAATTGACCTTTCTATGGCCTCGTTTGTTTCAATATGTCCAAAGTCAAGGGAAACTATTAAAATCGAAGGTATGAAGACCAAGCTAGTGTGACTTTTAGTATGGTTACGGTCTCCTTTCGCAGTATAGAAGTTGTTTGACCTTGTTTTTGCAACTTGGTCATATTAGCAGAAAAAATTATATGAATTCAACACACCATAACTCATCAAAGATACAAAAAAGTCGACCCTTTGACCACTTCTCTTCAAGCTAGTTGTGGTAAATCTCCTTCTATCCTGGGGTATGGAGGGATGGGTGCCAAATGATCGAAGGATCTACTTTACTTGTCTCTTTGACGAGTTGTAGCTTGGTGCTAAGAATGACAAGGCTCATAAACGATGCCGACTACGATGCCGGCGAAGCTTCTGGGAAGGAACCAAGACCACGGTCCGACTCTGGAAATTATCATGCATATTATGGCATTATTATTATTATTATTATTATAACGTGCATTCTTTTAGGTCTTCTTGAAAAGATGACCAAGTTGAGAAAGCAAGGTCAAATAACTACTGCCACTAGTAAGTTTTGATATTTGACCACTTGGCGAGTTACAAGCCGTTACTGAGGATGGCTCTACTCACAGAGGATAACGATTAAGATATCGGCGAAATGTCTGGAAGAATACCAAGTCCTCCGTTCGACACTGGGAATTGTCATGACTACTATGGCAGAGGACTCAGGACAAAGTAAATTCATCGAGGTTGCCATGAAAACATGCGAAAACGTAGAAAAACCACTTGAGTACTGCAAGGGAGACGACAATGAATTAGAGGCCATTGTTTCTGTGGTCATAATTTGCGTTGCAGTCATAGGGCTTAGATTTTCGTTTGGTGTGCGGATGATACTGGGGCGAGGTTGAAACTTCACTCAATCTTAGAGAAGGATACATTTTGAAAGGTAAGAGTAAGCGAAATTTAGTTGTACCATGAGGCTTAGTGGGAAAATTCAGGTCATACTCAAAATTGAGTGAATATGACCCTTGTTTACGAGTCCTTTTTGTCCACTTTTTTAAACTAAATAAAAGGGTTATATATAAAGAAAATGAGAGGTTTAAAAAATCTACTGAGCTAAGATTGTCGTGAAAGCTTTTTTTCACACAAATTAATGAAAACACTGGTTGAGCAAATTAGCTTATTAGACAGATTACTTGAACAAGTCAAGAATACAACAGACTTGGAGGTGATTCCTCGCTTTGACCAGTTAGTTACGCCAAATCCTTTGTTCTGAGTAGCGTATATAGACATTTATTTCTAGACAATCTTATCGTTATGAAAGCCGAAAAAAGTGGAGCAATGGCAGTCATGGATAGGTTAAGTGATCTAGAGAAAATGCTTGCGCATTTAGATGACATTGATAAATATAAGCCTTTAATGAAGGATCCTATAAAGGGACTTGCAACTAAGCTAAAAGATGGTTTGCAGGTATGCGTAAGTAGTGAGGAAATGGAGAAGTGGAAAATGAATTTCCTACTTTAAAGATTTGCTAGAGCACCCTAGCAAATCTGCACTCCAAATGTGCATAAAGAGCGGATTCCTCTTAGATTAATTATAAGCAGTTTAATCGAAGGTATGAAGACCAAGATGGTGTGGCCTTTTGTGTGGTCATAGTCTCCTCTCGCTGTATAGAAGTTGTTTGATCTTGTTTTCGCAACTCGGTTATATTGGTAGGAAGACTTAGAGAAACGCACCTAGTCCGGAGTCCATTGTCTGCATGATTATTTCCAAAGTTGAACGGTGGACGTGGTACATTCTCAGACGTCAAAGAGACAAGGACGAGTTGTAATATG